GATGGTGGTGATGGTGGTGGTGGTGATGATGGTGGTGATGGTAGCGGTGGTGGTGATTATGGTGGTGGTGATGGTAGCAGTGGTGGTGATGATGGTGGTGGTGGTGGTGATGATGGTGGTGGTGATGGTGGTGGTGATGGTAGCGGTGGTGGTAATGATGGTGATGGTGATGACGGTGGTGGTGGTGATGATAGCGGTGGTGGTGATGATGTTGGTGGTGTTGGTAGTGGTGATGGTAGCGGTGGTGGTGATGACGGTGGTGGTGGTGATGGTGGTGATGATGGTGGTGGTGGTGATGATGATGGTGGTGGTGATGTTGGTGGTGGTGATGGTAGCGGTGGTGGTGATGGTGGTGGTGGTGATGACGGTGGTGGTGGTGATGTTGGTGGTTATGTTGGTGGTGGTGATGGTGGTGGTTATGTTGGTGGTGATGTTGGTGGTGGTGGTGATGTTGGTGGTGATGATGGTGGCGGTGGTGGTGATGACGGTGGTATTGGTGGTGGTGGTAGTGATGGTGGCGGAGAGTGGTGGTGCAGCGGTTAGCGCGCTAGGCTATTAACAAAGTTGCCCCGGCAACCCTGGCGAGCCGGGGGTTGCCCCGGCAACCCTGGCGAGCAGGGGGTTGCCCCGGCAACCCTGTCGGTGGCGATGTGTGTCAACGGTTGCCAAGCAACGGTGCCGCCTGTGTGTGTGTGTGTGTTGCAGGCTCTCACGCAGCTCCGTGTCTCCTTGGAGACGGTCCGCGTTTCTGTCCGTGTGTCTGTCCGTGTGTCTGTCCGTGTCTCTGTCCGTGTCTCTCCAAAAGACCGACTGACTCACCACCTCACCGACTGACTAACCACCTCACCGACTGACTGACCACCTCACCGACTGGCTAACCACCTCACCGACTGACTCACCACCTCACCGACTGGCCGACCACCTCACCGACTGACTGACCACCTCACCGACTGACTCACCACCTCACCGACTGACTAACCACCTCACCGACTGACTCACCACCTCACCGACTGACTAACCACCACACCGACTGACTGACCACCTCACCGACTGACTAACCACCTCACCGACTGACTCACCACCTCACCGACTGACTAACCACCTCACCGACTGACTAACCACCTCACCGACTGACTGACCACCTCACCGACTGACTAACCACCACACTGACTGACTGACCACCTCACCGACTGACTGACCACCTCACCGACTGACTGACTACCTCACCGACTGACTCACCACCTCACCGACTGACTAACCACCCCACCGACTGACTAACCACCTCACCGACTGACTAACCACGACGCCGACTGACTAACCACCTCACCGACTGACTGACCACCTCACCGACTGACTAACCACCTCACCGACTGACTCACCACCTCACCGACTGACTCACCACCTCACCGACTGACTGACCACCTCACCGACTGACTAACCACCCCACCGACTGACTGACCACCTCACCGACTGACTGACCACCTCACCGACTGACTGACCACCACACCGACTGACTGACCACCTCACCGACTGACTGACCACCTCACCGACTGACTGACCACCACGCCGACTGACTAACGACCTCGCCAACTGACTAACCACCTCACCGACTAACCGACCACCACACCGACTGACTGACCACCTCACCGACTGACTGACCACCTCACCGACTGACTCACCACCTCACCGACTGACTGACCACCTCACCGACTGACTAACCACCTCACCGACTGACTGACCACCTCACCGACTGACTGACCACCTCACCGACTGACTGACCACCTCACCGACTGACTGACCACCACACCGACTGACTGACCACCTCACCGACTGACTGACCACCTCACCGACTGACTCACCACCACACCGACTGACTGACCACCTCACCGACTGACTGACCACCTCACCGACTGACTCACCACCCCACCGACTGACTGACCACCTCACCGACTGACTAACCACCTCACCGACTGACTAACCACCACACCGACTGACTGACCACCTCACCGACTGACCGACCACCACACCGACTGACTAACCACCCCACCGACTGACTAACCACCCCACCGACTGACCGACCACCACACCGACTGACTGACCACCTCACCGACTGACTGACCACTTCACCGACTGACTCACCACCTCACCGACTGACTAACCACCTCACCGACCGACTAACCACCTCACCGACCGACTAACCACCTCACCGACTAACCGACCACCTCACCGACTAACCGACCACCTTGCCGACTGACTGACCACCTCACCGACTAACCGACCACCTCGCCGACTGACCGACCACCTCGCCGACTGGCCGACTTCCCCGCCCAGCCAATGGAGGTGAGCCTCACCGGGCACGCCGACAGCGTCTTGCGCGGCCTCAGCCGGCAACGCCGCCTGAGCCCCAGCGCCGGCGACTCCGCCGGCGACTCCGCCGGTGATGCTCATGCTGAGGATGAGGAGGAGGAGGATGCTCATGCTGAGGAGGAGGAGGAGGATGCTCATGCTGAGGAGGAGGAGGAGGAGGATGCTCATGCTGAGGAGGAGGAGGATGCTCATGCTGAGGATGAGGAGGATGCTCATGCTGAGGAGGAGGAGGAGGATGCTCATGCTGAGGATGAGGAGGACGACCTCTCGGCGCTGTGCGACTGCTGTCTGGTGCTGGATGGCGTGCCCCACCGGGCTCACCGCGCTGTGCTCGCCGCCTGTAGCCGCTACTTCCGCCGCCTGTTCGCTCAGCAGCCCCACGTGGACAAGATCGACGTGAAGAACTCACCCGGTGGGTGGGGGGGGGGGGGGGGGGGAGAGTGGGGGGGTGGGGGGAGATGGGGGGGGGGATGGGGGAGGGGGAGGTGGGGGAGGGGGGGTGGAAATGGGGGAGGGAGATGGGGAGGAGGGGGAGAGATGGAGGGGAGGGGGGGAGGGATGGAGGGGGGAGGAGGGGGGGAGATGGGGGGGGGGGGAGATGGAGGGGGGGGAGATGGGGAGGAGGGGGGGAGATGGGGGAGGGAGATGGGGGGGGGAGATGGGGGGGAGATGGAGGGGGGAGGGAGATGGGGGAGGGGGGGAGATGGGGGGGGGGAGGAGGGGGGGAGATGGGGGGGGGGGGGAGATGGGGGGAGGGAGATGGGGGAGATGGAGGGGTGAGTGTGGGCGGTGGTTTTGGACTTTGTGTGCTGGAGACTCGGAGTGAGACAACTCAATGTCCCCCCCTGCCCCCCCCTGCCCCCCCTGCCCCCCCCTGCCCCCCCCCTGCCCCCCCCCCCTGCCCCCCCCCCAGGCGTGTCCCTGCTGCTGGAGTCGATGTACTCCTCTCGCCTCGTGCTGAGCCCCGAGACGGCTGTACACGTGGAGTCGGCCGCTCGCTTCCTGGAGATGCCGGGGGCCCTGGACGCCTGCCGGAGATTCTCCCTGCTGCTGGGGGGGGGCCGGGGGGGGCCGGGCGGGGGGCGGGGGGCCGGGGGGGGGCGGGGGGCCGGGGGGGGGCAGGGGGCGGCCGCTGCTTTGCTGGCTGACTCGCAGGCTGACAGACGGACAGAGACACAGGCAGATAGACGGGCAGACACACAGGTTGATATACAGGCAGATAGACAGGCAGATAGACAGGCAGATAGACAGGCTGACAGATGGACAGAGACACAGGCAGATAGACAGGCAGATAGACAGGCAGATAGACAGGTAGATAGACAGGCAGACACACAGGTTGATATACAGACAGATAGACAGGCAGATAGACAGGCAGATAGACAAGTAGATAGACAGGCAGACACACAGGTTGATATACAGACAGATAGACAGGCAGATAGACAGGCAGATAGACAGGCTGACAGACGGACAGAGACACAGGCAGATAGACAGGCAGATAGACAGGCTGACACGCAGGCTGACAGACGGACAGAGACACAGGCAGATAGACAGGCAGACACACAGGTTGATATACAGACAGATAGACAGGCAGATAGACAGGCTGACAGACGGACAGAGACACAGGCAGATAGACAGGCAGACACACAGGTTGATATACAGACAGATAGACAGGCAGATAGACAGGCTGACAGACGGACAGAGACACAGGCAGATAGACAGGCAGACACACAGGTTGATATACAGGCAGACACACAGGCTGACAGACGGACAGAGACACAGACAGACACACAGGTAGATAGACAGGTTGACAGACAGACAGACACACAGACAGACACACAGGCTCACAGATGGACAGAGACACAGACAGAGACACAGACAGATAGACAGGCAGATAGACAGGTTGATATACAGACAGACACACAGGTAGACACACAGACAGACACACAGACAGACACACAGACAGACACACAGGTAGACACACAGACAGACACACAGACAGACACACAGACAAACACACAGACAGACACACAGACAGACACACAGGTAGACACACAGACAGACACACAGACAGACACACAGACAGACACACAGACAGACACACAGGTAGACACACAGACAGACACACAGGTAGACACACAGACAGACACACAGACAGACACACAGGTAGACAAACAGGTTGATACACAGACAGACACACAGGTAGACAAACAGGTTGATACACAGACAGACACACAGGTAGACACACAGACAGACACACTGGCAGACACACAGGAAGACACACAGACAGACAGGGAAGTCTTGCCAGAGAAGGCGGCCATCTTAGTGAGGGAAGGCTCCATGGAAAATGCGGCCATCTTGGTAAGGGGAGCCTCGACAGAGAGGACGGCCATCTTGGCAAGGGAGGCTACTACGGAGAGGGTGACCATCTTGGACAGGGAAGCCGCACCGGAGGCGGGGCCACCCGTGGAAGCGGCGACCATCTTGGTGACGGAAGCCACATCGGAGAGGGCGGCCATCTTGGACAGGGATGCCTTGACTGAGAGGGTAGCCATCTTGGACAGGGAAGTCTCGACAGAGAGGACGGCCATCTTGGACGGTGAAGCCTCGACGGAAAGGGTGGCCATCTCGATGAGGGGAACATTGACGGAGAGGGTGGCCATCTTGGCAAGGGAAGCCACTCCTGAGGGCGTGGCCATCTTGGTGCGGGAAGCCTTGACGGAGAAGGCGGCCGTCTTGGACATGGAAGCCGCACCAGATTCAGGGCCACTCGTGAATCCGGTGCGGGAAGCCTCGACGGAGGGGGTGGCCATATTGGACAGGGAAGCTGCACTGGATGCAGGGGCGGCTGTGGAAGAGGCGGCCATCATGGCGAGGGGGGTCTCGGCGAAGGGAGCGACCATCATGGTGAGGGATGCATCGACGGAGAGGATGGCCATATTGGACAGGGAAGCTGCACCGGATTCAGGGCCACCCGTGGAAGAGGAGGCCATCTTGGTGAAGGGAGTGGCGATGGAGGGGGCAGCCATCTTGGTGAGGGGAGCCTCGATGGAGAGGGCGGCCATCTTGATGAGGGAAGCCACTCCCGAGAGGGTGGCCATCTTGGTGCGGGAAGCCTCGACGGAGAAGGCGGCCATCTTGGACATGGAAGCCGCACCAGATTCAGGGCCACTCGTGAATCCGGTGCGGGAAGCCTCGACGGATGGGGTGGCCATATTGGATAGGGAAGCTGCATCGGATTCAGGGCCACCTGTGGAAGAGACGGCCATCTTGGCACGAGGGGTTACGGTGAAGGGGGTGGCCATCTTGGTGAGGGAAGCCTCGACGGAGGGGGTGGCCATATTGGACGGGGAAGCTGCACCGGATTCAGGCCCGACCGTGGAAGAAGCGGCCATCTTGGTGAGGGGGGTCTCGGCGAAGGGGGCAGCCATCATGGTTAAGGATACCTCGACGGAGGGGGTGGCCATATTGGACAGGAAAGCTGCAACGGATTCAGGGCCGCCCGTGGAAGGGGCGGCTATCTTGGTGAGGGGAGTGGCGACGGAAGGGGCGGCCATCTTGGTTAGGGGAGCCACCACGGAGAAGGTGGCCATCTTGGAAGGGGGAGCCTCGATGGAGAAGGCGGCCATCTTGGTGAGGGGAGCCCCCGCGAAGGGGGCGGAGGCTCGGGTGGCTACCAGTGGCCAGGGTCGCTCCCCATTGGCTGGCAAGCGCAAGAGGGGGCGGAGCAAGAGGGAGGGTCACGACCCTAGAGTTAAAGGTGAGGAGGTCAGGTGACTCACAGAGATCCAGACTCATAGAGACCCACAGAGAACCACACTCACAGAGACCCACACAGACTCATAGAGACCCACACAGACTCATAGAGACCCATACTCATAGAGACCCACACAGACTCATAGAGACCCATACTCATAGAGACCCACACTCACAGAGACCCACACAGACTCATAGAGACCCATACTCATAGAGACCCACACTCATAGAGACCCACACAGACTCATAGAGACCCATACTCATAGAGACCCACACAGACTCATAGAGACCCATACTCATAGAGACCCACACTCACAGAGACCCACACAGACTCATAGAGACCCATACTCATAGAGACCCACACTCACAGAGACCCACACAGACTCATAGAGACCCATACTCATAGAGACCCACACTCATAGAGACCCACACAGACTCATAGAGACCCATACTCATAGAGACCCACACAGACTCATAGAGACCCATACTCATAGAGACCCACACTCACAGAGACCCACACAGACTCATAGAGACCCACAGAGAACCACACTCACAGAGACCCACACAGACTCATAGAGACCCATACTCATAGAGACCCACACTCACAGAGACCCACACAGACTCATAGAGACCCACACTCATAGAGACCCACACAGACTCATAGAGACCCACACTCATAGAGACCCACACTCACAGAGACCCACACAGACTCATAGAGACCCATACTCATAGAGACCCACACTCATAGAGACCCACACAGACTCATAGAGACCCATACTCATAGAGACCCACACAGACTCATAGAGACCCATACTCATAGAGACCCACACTCACAGAGACCCACACAGACTCATAGAGACCCACAGAGAACCACACTCACAGAGACCCACACAGACTCATAGAGACCCATACTCATAGAGACCCACACTCACAGAGACCCACACAGACTCATAGAGACCCACACTCATAGAGACCCACACAGACTCATAGAGACCCACACTCATAGAGACCCACAGAGAACCACACTCACAGAGACCCACACAGACTCATAGAGACCCATACTCATAGAGACCCACACTCACAGAGACCCACACAGACTCATAGAGACCCACACTCATAGATACCCACACAGACTCATAGAGACCCACACTCACAGAGACCCACACAGACCCATAGAGACCCATACTCATAGAGACCCACACAGACTCATAGAGACCCACACTCATAGATACCCACACAGACTCATAGAGACCCACACTCACAGAGACCCACACAGACCCATAGAGACCCATACTCATAGAGACCCACACAGACTCATAGAGACCCACACTCATAGAGACCCACACAGACCCACAGAGACCCAGACTCATAGAGACCCACAGAGACGCACAGAGAACCATACTCATAGACACCCACAGAGACTCGTAGAGACCCATACTCATAGAGACCCAGACTCATAGAGACCCACACTCACAGAGACCCACACAGACCCATAGAGACCCATACTCATAGAGACCCACACTCACAGAGACCCACACAGACTCATAGAGACCCACACTCATAGATACCCACACAGACTCATAGACACCCACACTCACAGAGACCCACACAGACTCATAGAGACCCACACTCATAGAGACCCACACAGACTCATAGAGACCCACACTCATAGACACCCACACAGACCCACAGAGACCCACAGAGACACACAGAGACCCATACTCATAGAGACCCATAGAGACCCATACTCATAGAGACCCACACAGACCCCACAGAGACCCACACTCATAGAGACCCACAGAGACTCATAGAGACCCACACTCATAGAGACCCACACAGACCCACAGAGACCCAGACTCATAGAGACCCACAGAGACACACAGAACCATACTCATAGACACCCACAGAGACTCATAGAGACCCACACTCTTAGAGATCCACAGAGAGACACAGAGACCCATACTCATAGAGACCCACACAGACTCATAGAGACCCACACTCACAGAGACCCACACAGACCCATACTCATAGAGACCCACACAGACCCACAGAGACCCATACTCTTAGAGACCCACACAGACTCATAGAGACCCATAATCATAGAGACCCACACAGACCCACAGAGACCCACAGAGACACACAGAGACCCATACTCATAGAAACCCACAGAGACCCACACTCATAGACACCCACAGAGACTCATAGAGACCCACAGAGACACACAGAGACCCATACTCTTAGAGACCCACAGAGACTCATAGAGACCCACAGAGACACACAGAGACCCATACTCATAGAAACCCACAGAGACTCATAGAGACCCACAGAGACACACAGAGACCCATACTCATAGAGACCCACAGAGACTCACAAAGACCCATACTCATAGACACCCACAGAGACTCATAGAGACCCATACTCTTAGAGATCCACAGAGACACACAGAGACCCATACTCATAGAGACCCACACGGAATCATAGAGACCCACACTCATAGAGAACCACACAGACCCATAGAGACCCACAGAGACTCACAAAGACCCAGACTCATAGAGACCCACAGAGACACAGAGACCCATACTCTTAGAGACCCACAGAGACACACAGAGACCCATACTCATAGAGACCCACACAGAATCATAGAGACCCAGACTCATAGAGACCCACACTCATAGAGACCCACACAGACCCTCAGAGACCCATCCTCATAGAGACCCACACAGACCCTCAGAGACCCATATTCATAGACACCCACAGAGACTCATAGAGACCCATACTCATAGAGACCCACACAGACCAATAGAGATCCATACTCATAACTCATAGAGACCCACAGAGACCCAGATTCATAGACACCCACAGAGACACACAGAGACCCATACTCATAGACACCCACAGAGACTCATAGAGACCCACAGAGACACACAGAGACCCATACTCATAGAGACCCACAGAGACTCACAAAGACCCAGACTCATAGAGACCCACAGAGACACACAGAGATCCAGACTCATAGAGACCCACAGAGACTCATAGAGACTCATAATCATAGAGACCCACACAGACCCATCGAGACCCATACTCATAGACTCATAGAGACCCACAGAGACCCAGATTCATAGACACCCACAGAGACACACAGAGACCCATACTCATAGAGACCCACAGAGACCCAGACTCATAGAGACCCACAGAGACACAGAGACCCAGACTCATAGAGACCCACTCACACTCATAGAGACCCATACTCATAGAGACCCACAGAGACTCATAGAGACCCATACTCATAGAGACCCACAGAGACCCATACTCATAGAGACCCACAGAGACCCATACTCATAGAGACCCACAGAGACCCAGACTCATAGAGACTCACAGAGACCCATAGAGACCCATACTCATAGAGACCCACAGAGACACACACTCATAGAGACCCATAGAGACACATACTCATAGAGACCCACAGAGACCCATACTCAGAGACTCACACAGACTCACAAAGACCCAGACTCATAGACACCCACAGAGACACAGAGACCCATACTCATAGACACCCACAGAGACTCACAGAGACTCACAGAGACCCACAGAGACACACAGAGACCCATACTCATAGAGACCCACAGAGACACACAGAGACCCATACTCATAGAGACCCACACAGACCCATACTCATAGAGAACCACACAGACCCATAGAGACCCAGAGAGACTCACAAAGACCCAGACTCATAGAGACCCACAGAGACCCATAGAGACCCATACTCATAGAGACCCACAGAGACTCATAGAGACCCATACTCATAGAGACCCACACAGACCCATACTCATAGAGACCCATAATCATAGAGACCCACACAGACCCACAGAGACCCATACTCATAGACACCCACAGAGACACACAGAGACCCAGACTCATAGAAACCCACAGAGACCCATACTCATAGACACCCACAGAGACTCATAGAGACCCAGACTCATAGAGACCCACAGAGACACACAGAGACCCATACTCATAGAGACCCACAGAGACCCACAGAGACCCAGACTCAGAGACTCACAGAGACCCATAGAGACCCATACTCAGAGACTCACAGAGACCCAGACTCATAGAGACCCACAGAGACACACACTCATAGAGACCCACAGAGACACACACTCATAGAGACCCACAGAGACCCAGACTCATAGAGACCCACAGAGACCCATACTCACAGAGATCCACAGAGACTCATAGAGACCCAGACTCATAGAGACTCACACAGACCCATAGAGACCCATAGAGACCCATACTCAGAGACTCACAGAGACTCACAGAGACCCATACTCATAGAGACCCAGAGAAACTCACAGAGACCCATACTCATAGAGACCCATACTCATAGAGACCCACACAGACCTATAGAGACCCATACTCAGAGACTCACAGAGACCCATAGAGACCCACAGAGACCCAGATTCATAGACACCCACAGAGACACACAGAGACCCAGACTCATAGAGACCCACAGAGACCCATAGAGACCCATGCTCATAGAGACCCACAGAGACTCATTGAAACCCATACTCATAGAGACCCACAGAGACCCACAGAGACACATAGAGACCCATACTCTTAGAGATACACAGCAACATGCATCATCAGGGTAAGTGATCAAACCCATGCATCCTGTAGACCAGGCGAGGTAGTCAACATCTCCCAGGGTCTGGGATCGAACCCACGACCTCCTGTGTATCAGGCGAGGTAGTCAACATCTCTCAGTGTCTGGGATCGAACTCACGACCTCCTGTGTATCAGGCGAGGTAGTCAACATCTCACAGGGTCTGGGATCGAACCCACGACCTCCTGTAGACCAGGCGAGGTAGTCAACATCTCACAGGGTCCGGGATCGAACCCACGACCTCCTGCGTACCAGGCGAGGTAGTCAACATCTCCCAGGGTCTGGGATCGAACCCACGACCTCCTGCGTACCAGGCGAGGTAGTCAACATCTCACAGGGTCTGGGATCGAACCCACGACCTCCTGTGCACCAGGCGAGGTAGTCAACATCTCCCAGGGTCTGGGATCGAACCCACGACCTCCTGTGTACCAGGCGAGGTAGTCAACATCTCACAGGGTCTGGGATCGAACTCAGGACCTCCTGTGTACCAGGCGAGGTAGTCAACATCTCACAGGGTCCGGGATCGAACCCACGACCTCCTGTATACCAGGCAAGGTAGTCAACATCTCCCAGGGTCCGGGATCGAACCCACGACCTCCTGTGTACCAGGCGAGGTAATCAACATCTCACAGGGTCCGGGATCGAACCCACGACCTCCTGTAGACCGGGCGAGGTAGTCAACATCTCCCAGGGTCTGGGATCGAACCCACGACCTCCTGCGTACCAGGCGAGGTAGTCAACATCTCCCAGGGTCTGGGATCGAACCCACGACCTCCTGCGTACCAGGCGAGGTAGTCAACATCTCACAGGGTCCGGGATCGAACCCACGACCTCCTGTAGACCGGGCGAGGTAGTCAACATCTCCCAGGGTCTGGGATCGAACCCACGACCTCCTGCGTACCAGGCGAGGTAGTCAACATCTCACAGGGTCCGGGATCGAACTCAGGACCTCCTGTGTACCAGGCGAGGTAGTCAACATCTCACAGGGTCCGGGATCGAACCCACGACCTCCTGTATACCAGGCAAGGTAGTCAACATCTCCCAGGGTCCGGGATCGAACCCACGACCTCCTGTGTACCAGGCGAGGTAGTCAACATCTCACAGGGTCCGGGATCGAACCCACGACCTCCTGTAGACCGGGCGAGGTAGTCAACATCTCCCAGGGTCTGGGATCGAACCCACGACCTCCTGCGTACCAGGCGAGGTAGTCAACATCTCCCAGGGTCTGGGATCGAACCCACGACCTCCTGCGTACCAGGCGAGGTAGTCAACATCTCACAGGGTCCGGGATCGAACCCACGACCTCCTGTAGACCGGGCGAGGTAGTCAACATCTCCCAGGGTCTGGGATCGAACCCACGACCTCCTGCGTACCAGGCGAGGTAGTCAACATCTCACAGGGTCCGGGATCGAACTCAGGACCTCCTGTGTACCAGGCGAGGCAGTCAACATCTTCCGCTCAATATCTCTCCCTCCTCTCCCTCTCTGACTCTGCCTCCCCGTGTCTCCCACCGCAGGCGACGATGATGGTGGTGATGGTGATGGTGGTGATGATGGTGGTGGTGGTGATGGTGGTGGTGATGATGATGGTGGTGGTGATGGTGGTGATGGTGGTGGTGGTGGTGATGCTGATGATGGTGGTGATGATGGAGGTGATGATGGTGGTGGTGGTGATGGTGGTGGTGGTGATGGTGGTGGTGATGGTGGTGGCGGTGATGCTGATGATGGTGGTGAAGAGGTGGAAGCGGAGAAGAGAATCATCGGCAAGAGACGCCGCATCGACTCTGAGCGGGCCGAGACGAAGCTGTACGGACCGGTGCTGTACGTGTGTGAGGTGCTCAGAGACACAGAGACACACACAGAGACACAGAGACACAGAGACACACAGAGACACACACAGAGACACACACAGAGAGACACACAGAGACACACAGAGACACACAGAGACACACACAGATACACAGAGAGACACAGAGACACACACAGACACACAGAGACACACAGAGACACACACAGACACACAGAGAGACAGAGACACAAAGACACACACATAGATACACACAGAGACACACAGAGACACACACACACAGAGACACACACAGAGACACACACAGAGACACACACAGAGACACACACAGAGACAGCTGTACGGACCGGTGCTGTACGTGTGTGAGGTGCTCAGAGACACAGAGACACACAGAGACACACACACAGAGACACACACAGAGACATACACAGAGACAGCTGTACGGACCGGTGCTGTACGTGTGTGAGGTGCTCAGAGACACAGAGACACACACAGAGACACACACAGACACAGAGCGACACACACACAGAGACACACAGAGACACACACAGAGACACACACAGAGACACACACAGAGACAGCTGTACGGACCGGTGCTGTACGTGTGTGAGGTGCTCAGAGACACAGAGACACACACAGAGACACAGAGACACACACAGAGACACACACAGAGACACACACAGAGACACACACAGAGACAGCTGTACGGACCGGTGCTGTACGTGTGTGAGGTGCTCAGAGACACAGAGACACACACAGAGACACAGAGACACACAGAGACACACACAGAGACACACACAGAGACACACAGAGACAGCTGTACGGACCGGTGCTGTACGTGTGTGAGGTGCTCAGAGACACAGAGACACAGAGAGACACAGAGACACACACACACACAGACACACAGAGACACACAGAGACACACAGACACAGAGACACAGAGACACACAGAGACACACACACAGAGACACACACAGAGACACACACAGAGACAGCTGTACGGACCGGTGCTGTACGTGTGTGAGGTGCTCAGAGACACAGAGACACAGAGAGACACAGAGACACACACACACAGACACACAGAGACACACAGAGACACACAGACACAGAGACACAGAGACACACAGAGACACACACACAGAGACACACAGAGAGACACACACAGAGACAGCTGTACGGACCGGTGCTGTACGTGTGTGAGGTGCTCGGAGACACAGAGACACACACAGAGACACAGAGACACACAGACACACAGAGACACACAGAGACACACAGAGACACACAGAGACACAGAGATACACAGAGACACACAGAGATACACACAGAGACAGCTGTACGGACCGGTGCTGTACGTGTGTGAGGTGCTCAGAGACACAGAGACACACAGAGACACACAGAGACACACAGAGACACACACAGAGACAGCTGTACGGACCGGTGCTGTACGTGTGTGAGGTGCTCAGAGACACAGAGACACACACAGAGACACACACAGACACAGAGCGACACACACACAGAGACACACAGAGACACACACAGAGACACACACAGAGACACACACAGAGACACATACAGAGACACACACAGAGACAGCTGTACGGACCGGTGCTGTACGTGTGTGAGGTGCTCAGAGACACAGAGACACACACAGAGACACAGAGACACACAGAGACACAGAGACACACAGAGACACAGAGACACACAGAGACACACACACAGAGACACACACAGAGACAGCTGTACGGACCGGTGCTGTACGTGTGTGAGGTGCTCGGAGACACAGAGACACACACAGAGACACGCTGCACACACAGAGACACACACAGAGACACACACAGAGACACACACAGAGACACACACAGAGACACACACAGAGACACACACAGAGACAGCTGTACGGACCGGTGCTGTACGTGTGTGAGGTGCTCAGAGACACAGAGACACACACAGAGACACAGAGACACACAGAGACACGCCGCACACACAGAGACACACACACACAGAGACACACACACACAGAGACACACACAGAGACACACAGAGACACACACACACAGAGACACACACAGAGACACACAGAGACACACAGAGACCCACAGAGACCCGCAGAGACACACAGAGACTCACACAGAGACACAGACACACACAGAGACACACAGAGACCCATAGAGACCCGCAGAGACACACACAGACACACAGAGACACAGAGACACACACAGAGATACACAGAGACACACAGAGACACACAGAGACACACAGACACAGAGACACAGAGACACACAGAGACACACACACACAGACACACAGAGACACACACAGACACAGAGACACAGAGACACAGAGACATACAGAGACACACACACACAGAGACACACACAGAGACACACACAGAGACACACACAGAGACAGCTGTACGGACCGGTGCTGTACGTGTGTGAGGTGCTCAGAGACACAGAGACACAGAGAGACACAGAGACACAGAGAGACACAGAGACACACAGAGACACACACACAGAGACACACACAGAGACACACACAGAGACACACACAGCGACACACACAGACACACAGAGACACACACAGAGACACATAGATACACACAGAGACACACACAGAGACACAGAGACACACAGAGACACACAGAGACACACAGAGAAACAGAGACACACACAGAGACACACAGAGACCCACAGAGACCCACAGAGACACACAGAGACCCACAGAGACCACAGAGACCCGCAGAGACACACAGAGACACACAGAGACACACAGAGACACAGAGACACACACAGAGACACACAGAGACACACACACACAGAGACACACAGAGACACACAGAGACACACAGACACAGAGACACAAAGACACAGAGACACACACACACAGAGACACACACAGAGACACACACACACAGAGACACACACAGACACACACACAGAGACACACACAGAGACACACACAGAGACAGCTGTACGGACCGGTGCTGTACGTGTGTGAGGTGCTCAGAGACACAGAGACACAGAGACACACAGAGACACACACACAGAGACACACACAGAGACATACACAGAGACAGCTGTACGGACCGGTGCTGTACGTGTGTGAGGTGCTCAGAGACACAGAGACACAGAGACACACAGAGACACACACAGAGACACAGAGACACACACAGACGCACACACAGAGACACACACAGAGACACACACAGAGACAGCTGTACGGACCGGTGCTGTACGTGTGTGAGGTGCTTGGAGACACAGAGACACAGAGAGACACAGAGACACACAGAGACACAGAGACACACAGAGACACACACACAGAGACACACACAGAGACAGCTGTACGGACCGGTGCTGTACGTGTGTGAGGTGCTCGGAGACATAGAGACACACACAGAGACACGCTGCACACACAGAGACACACAGAGACACACACAGAGACACAGAGACACACACAGAGACACACACACACAGAGACCCACAGAGACACACAGAGACACACACAGAGACACAGACACACACAGAGATACACAGAGACACACAGAGACACACACAGACACAGAGACACACACAGAGACACATAGACACACACAGAGACACACAGAGACACACACAGAGACACATAGACACACACAGAGACACACAGAGACACACTCACAGACATACACAGAGACAGCTGTACGGACCGGTGCTGTACGTGTGTGAGGTGCTCAGAGACACAGAGACACACAGAGACACACACAGACACACACACAGAGACACACACAGAGACACACACAGAGACAGCTGTACGGACCGGTGCTGTACGTGTGTGAGGTGCTCAGAGACACAGAGACACACAGAGACACACAGAGACACACACAGACACACACAGACACACAGAGACACAGAGACACAAAGACACACACAGAGATACACACAGAGACACAGAGACACACAGAGACACACAGAGACACACGGAGACACACACACACACACAGAAACACACAGAGACACACAGACACAGAGACACAGAGACACAGAGACATACAGAGACACACACACACAGAGACACACACAGAGACACACACAGAGACACACACAGAGACACACACAGAGACACACACAGAGACACACACAGAGACAGCTGTACGGACCGGTGCTGTACGTGTGTGAGGTGCTCAGAGACACAGAGAGACACAGAGAGACACAGAGACACACAGAGACACACAGAGACACACACAGAGACACATAGACACACACAGAGACACACAGAAACACACACACACAGAGACACACAGAGATACACAGAGACACACAGAGATACACACAGAGACACACAGAGACCCACAGAGACACACAGAGATACACACAGAGACACACAGAGACCCACAGAGACACACAGAGACACACACAGAGACACACACAGAGACACACACAGACACACAGAGATACACAAAGAGACACACAGAGACCCACAGAGACCCGCAGAGACACACAGAGACACACACAGAGACACAGAGACACACAGAGACACAGAGACACACACAGAGACACACAGAGACCCACAGAGACCCGCAGAGACACACAGAGACACACACAGACACACAGAGACACAGAGACACACACAGAGACACATAGAGACACACACACAGACACACAGAGACACACAGAGACACAGAGACACAGAGACACACACACACAGAGACACACGCAGAGACACACAGACACACACAGACACAGAGACACACAGAGACACACAGAGACACACAGAGACAGAGAGACACACAGAGACACACACACACAGAGACACACACAGAGACACACACAGACACACACAGAGACACACACAGACACAGAGACACACAGAGACACACAGAGACACACACACACACAGACCCACAGAGACTCACAGAGACACACACAGACACACACACAGACACAAACAGAGACACACACAGACACAGAGACACAGAGACACACAGAGACACACACACACACACACACAGACCCACAGAGACTCACAGAGGCACACACAGACACACACAGAGACACACAGAGACACACAGACACACACAGAGAGACACACACACAGAGACACACAGAGACACACAGACACGCTGCACACACAGAGACACACAGAGACACACAGAGATACACACAGACACACAGAGACACACACAGAGACACCCCGCACACACATACACACACATTGACACACACACAGAGATACACAGAGACACCCTGCACACACAGAGACACCTTGCACACACAGAGACACACACAGAGACACCCCGCACACATAGAGGCACCCTGCACACACAGAGACACCCGGCACATACAGAGACACACACAGAGACACACACAGGGTCACGCTGCACACACAGAGACACATAGACACACACAGAGACACCCTGCACACACAGAGACACCCTGCACACACAGAGACACACACAGAGACACCCTGCACACACAGAGACACACACAGAGACACCCCGCACACACAGAGACACACAGAGACACCCTGCACACACAGAGACACACACAGAGACACCCTGCACACACAGAGACACACACAGAGACACCCCGCACACACAGAGACACCCTGCACACATAGAGACACACACAGAGACACCCGCACACACAGAGACACCCCGCACACACAGAGACACCCTGCACACACAGAGACACACACAGAGACACCCTGCACACACAGAGACACACACAGAGACACCCCGCACACACAGAGACACCTTGCACACACAGAGGCACACACAGAGACACCCCGCACACACAGAGACACACACAGAGACACCCTGCACACACAGAGACACCCCGCATACACAGAGACACCCTGCACACATAGAGACACACACAGAGACACCCGCACACACAGAGACACCCCGCACACACAGAGACACACACAGAGACACCCTGCACACACAGAGACACACACAGAGACACCCTGCACACACAGAGACACACACAGAGACACCCTGCACACACAGAGACACACACAGAGACACCCCGCACACACAGAGACACCCTGCACACATAGAGACACACACAGAGACACCCGCACACACAGAGACACCCCACACACACAGAGACACACACAGAGACACCCTGCACACACAGAGACACACACAGAGACACCCTGCACACACAGAGACACCCCGCACACACAGAGACACCCTGCACACATAGAGACACACACAGAGACACCCGCACACACAGAGACACCCCACACACACAGAGACACACACAGAGACACCCTGCACACACAGAGACACACACAGAGACACCCCGCACACACAGAGACACCCTGCACACACAGAGGCACACACAGAGACACCCCGCACACACAGAGACACACACAGAGACACCCTGCACACACAGAGACACTCCGCACACACAGAGACACCCTGCACACATAGAGACACACACAGAGACACCCGCACACACAGAGACACCCCGCACACACAGAGACACACACAGAGACACCCTGCACACACAGAGACACACACAGAGACACCCTGCACACACAGAGACACACACAGAGACACCCTGCACACACAGAGACACACACAGAGACACCCCGCACACACAGAGACACCCTGCACACATAGAGACACACACAGAGACACCCGCACACACAGAGACACCCCACACACACAGAGACACACACAGAGACACCCTGCACACACAGAGACACACACAGAGACTCCCTGCACACACAGAGACACACACAGAGACACCCCGCACACACAGAGACACCCTGCACACACAGAGGCACACACAGAGACACCCCGCACACACAGAGACACACACAGAGACACCCTGCACACACAGAGACACCCTGCACACACAGAGACACACACAGAGACACCCTGCACACACAGAGACACACACAGAGACACCCGCACACACAGAGACACCCTGCACACATAGAGACACACACAGAGACACCCGCACACACAGAGACACCCCGCACACACAGAGACACACACAGAGACACCCTGCACACACAGAGACACACACAGAGACACCCTGCACACACAGAGACACACACAGAGACACCCCGCACACACAGAGACACCCTGCACACATAGAGACACACACAGAGACACCCGCACACACAGAGACACCCCGCACACACAGAGACACACACAGAGACACCCTGCACACACAGAGACACACACAGAGACACCCTGCACACACAGAGACACACACAGAGACACCCCGCACACACAGAGACACCCTGCACACACAGAGACACACACAGAGACACCCGCACACACAGAGACACCCTGCACACATAGAGACACACACAGAGACACCCGCACACACAGAGACACCCCGCACACACAGAGACACACACAGAGACACCCTGCACACACAGAGACACACACAGAGACACCCTGCACACACAGAGACACACACAGAGACACCCCGCACACACAGAGACACCCTGCACACATAGAGACACACACAGAGACACCCGCACACACAGAGACACCCCGCACACACAGAGACACACACAGAGACACACACAGAGACACACACAGAGACACCCTGCACACACAGAGACACACACAGAGACACCCCGCACACACAGAGACACCCTGCACACACAGAGGCACACACAGAGACACCCCGCACACACAGAGACACCCATAGACTCACGCTGCACACACAGAGACACCCTGCACACCCGTGCCACCCGCCATGCACCCGTGCCACCCACACCCCGTGCCACCCACCCCACACCCGTGCCACACACCCGTGCCCCCACACCACACCCGTGCCACCCACCATACACCCGTGCCACCCACCATACACCCGTGCCACCCACCATACACCCGTGCAACCTTACACCCGTGCCACCCACCTCACACCCGTGCCACCCACACCCGTGCCACCCACCCCACACCCGTGCCACCCACCTCACACCCGTGCCACCAACACCCGTGCCATCCACCCCACACCCGTGCCACCCACACCCGTGCCACCCACCATACACCCGTGCCACCCACACCCCGTGCCACCCACCCCACACCCGTGCCTCCCACACCCATACCACCCACACCACATCCGTGCCACCCACCTCACCCGTGCCACCCACCCCACACCCGTGCCACCCACCTCACACCCGTGCCACCTCACACCCGTGCCACCCACCATACACCCGTGCCACCCACCATACACCCGTGCCACCTCACACCCGTGCCACCCACCTCACACCCGTGCCACCCACACCCGTGCCACCCACCCCACACCCGTGCCACCCACAGCACACCCGTGCCACCCACACCCGTGCCATCCACCCCACACCCGTGCCTCCCACACCCGTGCCACCCACCATACACCCGTGCCACCCACACCCGTGCCACCCACCTCACACCCGTGCCTCCCACACCCATACCACCCACACCACATCCGTGCCACCCACCTCACCCGTGCCACCCACCCCACACCCGTGCCACCCACCTCACACCCGTGCCACCTCACACCCGTGCCACCCACCTCACACCCGTGCCACCTCACACCCGTGCCACCCACCCCACACCCCTCCCCCGTTTGTGCGCCCCGCTCGGCAGTGCGGCAAGCGCTTCACCCACACGGGCAACTACCGGAGGCACGTGCGCACCCACACGGGAGAGAGGCCGTACACGTGCCACCACTGTGGGCGGGCCTTCTCAGACTCAGCAGCATGCAGGGCACACGAGAAGACACACAGGTGGGTGGGTGAGTGGGTGGGTGGGTTAGTGGGTGGGTGAGTGGGTGGGTGGGTGGGTGGGTGGGTGGGTGAGTGGGTGTGTGGGTGGGTGAGTGGGTGGGTGAGTGTGTGAGTGGGTGGGTGGGTGGGTGAGTGAGTGGGTGGGTGAGTGGGTGGGTGAGTGGGTGAGTGGGTGGGTGGGTGGGTGAGTGGGTGGGTGGGTGGGTGAGTGAGTGGGTGAGTGGGTGGGTGGGTGGGTGGGTGGGTGGGTGAGTGAGTGGGTGAGTGAGTGGGTGAGTGGGTGGGTGGGGTGAGTGAGTGGGTGGGTGAATGGGTGAGTGGGTGGGTGGGTGAGTGGGTGGGTGGGTGAATGGGTGAGTGGGTAAGTGGGTGGGTGGGTGGGTGAGTGAGTGGGTGAGTGAGTGGGTGGGTGGGTGAGTGAGTGGGTGGGTGAGTGGGTGAGTGGGTGAGTGAGTGGGTGGGTGGGTGGGTGAGTGAGTGAGTGGGTGAGTGAGTGAGTGGGTGTGTGAGTGAGTGGGTGAGTGGGTGAGTGAGTGGGTGAGTGGGTGGGTGGGTGAGTGGGTGGGTGAGTGAGTGGGTGGGTGGGTGGGTGAGTGGGTGGGTGGGTGGGTGAGTGGGTGGGTGGGTGAGTGGGTGGGTGGGTTAGTGGGTGGGTGGGTGGGTGGGTTAGTGGGTTAGTGGGTGAGTGGGTGGGTGGGTGAGTGGGTGGGTGGGTTAGTGGGTGGGTGGGTTAGTGGGTGGGTGAGTGGGTGGGTGAGTGGGTGGGTGAGTGGGTGGGTGAGTGGGTGGGTGAGTGGGTGGGTGAGTGAGTGGGTGAGTGAGTGAGTGGGTGAGTGAGTGGGTGAGTGAGTGAGTGGGTGGGTGGGTGAGTGAGTGGGTGAGTGGGTGAGTGAGTGAGTGGGTGAGTGAGTGAGTGAGTGGGTGAGTGGGTGAGTGAGTGGGTGGGTGAGTGGGTGATTAAGTGAGTGGGTGAGTGGGTGAGTGAGTGAGTGGGTGGGTGAGTGGGTGGGTGGGTGAGTGGGTGGGTGGGTGAGTGGGTGAGTGGGTGGGTGGGTGGATGGGTGGGTGAGTGGGTGGGTGAGTGAGTGGGTGGGTGGGTGGGTGAGTGGGTGGGTGGGTGAGTGGGTGGGTGAGTGGGTGGGTGGGTGGGTGAGTGAGTGGGTGGGTGAGTGGGTGAGTGGGTGAGTGGGTGGGTGAGTGGGTGGGTGGGTGAGTGAGTGGGTGGGTGGGTGGGTGAGTGGGTGGGTGGGTGGGTGAGTGGGTGGGTGGGTGAGTGGGTGGGTGGGTGGGTGAGTGGGTGGGTTGGTGGGTGAGTGGGTGGGTGGGTGGGTGAGTGGGTGGGTGGGTGGGTGAGTGGGTGGGTGAGTGAGTGGGTGAGTGGGTGAGTGAGTGAGTGGGTGAGTGGGTGAGTGGGTGAGTGAGTGGGTGGGTGGGTGGGTGAGTGAGTGAGTGGGTGGGTGGGTGAGTGGGTGGGTGGGTGGGTGAGTGGGTGGGTGGGTGGGTGAGTGGGTGGGTGGGTGGGTGAGTGGGTGGGTGAGTGGGTGAGTGGGTGTGTGGGTGGGTGAGTGGGTGGGTGAGTGGGTGAGTGGGTGGGTGAGTGGGTGTGTGGGTGGGTGAGTGGGTGGGTGGGTGGGTGAGTGAGTGAGTGGGTGAGTGAGTGGGTGTGTGAGTGAGTGGGTGAGTGGGTGAGTGAGTGGGTGGGTGGGTGGGTGAGTGGGTGGGTGGGTGAGTGGGTGGGTGGGTGGGTGAGTGGGTGGGTTGGTGGGTGAGTGGGTGGGTGGGTGGGTGAGTGGGTGGGTGGGTGGGTGAGTGGGTGGGTGAGTGAGTGGGTGAGTGAGTGAGTGGGTGAGTGGGTGAGTGAGTGGGTGGGTGGGTGGGTGAGTGAGTGAGTGGGTGGGTGGGTGAGTGTGTGGGTGGGTGGGTGAGTGAGTGGGTGGGTGAGTGAGTGGGTGAGTGAGTGGGTGGGTGGGTAGGTGGGTGGGTGAGTGAGTGGGTGAGTGGGTGAGTGAGTGGGTGAGTGAGTGGGTGAGTGGGTGAGTGAGTGAGTGGGTTAGTGGGTGGGTGGGTGGGTGAGTGGGTGGGTGGGTGAGTGGGTGAGTGGGTGGGTGGGTGGGTGAGTGAGTGAGTGGGTGGGTGGGTGAGTGTGTGGGTGGGTGGGTGAGTGAGTGGGTGAGTGAGTGGGTGAGTGAGTGAGTGAGTGGGTGAGTGAGTGGGTTAGTGGGTGGGTGGGTGGGTGAGTGGGTGGGTGGGTCAGTGGGTGGGTGAGTGGGTGGGTGGGTGAGTGAGTGAGTGAGTGGGTGAGTGAGTGAGTGGGTGAGTGAGTGGGTGAGTGAGTGAGTGGGTTTTGAAAGGGGGCATACTGCTGCTACTCGCTCCTACTCACAGCACTTGCCCCTGCAGTCTGTCCGAGGCTACCTGGGGAACCTTTGTCTCTGTCTTTGCAGCCCATTGAAACCGTTCAGCTGCTCCATCTGTAACCACAGCTACCGACTGGTGAGCCTCCTGAACCAGCACATGAAGAAGCACAGTGGTGAGTCACTCACCACTCACTCACCACCCACTCACCACTCACTCACCACTCACTCACTCACCCACTCACTCACTCACTCACGACTCACTCACCATTCACTCACCACTCACTCACCAATCACTCACCAATCACTCACCCACTCACTCACTCACTCACCCACTCACTCACCACTCACTCACCACTCACTCACCCACTCACTCACCCACTCACCCACTCACTCACTCACTCACTACTCACTCACTCACTCACCACTCACTCACCACTCACTCACCCACTCACTCACCCACTCACCCACTCACTCACTACTCACTCACTCACCACTCACTCACCACCCACTCACCACTCACTCACCACTCACTCACTCACTCACGACTCACTCACCATTCACTCACCACTCACTCACCAATCACTCACCAATCACTCACCCACTCACTCACTCACTCACCCACTCACTCACCACTCACTCACCACTCACTCACCCACTCACTCACCCACTCACCCACTCACTCACTCACTACTCACTCACTCACCACTCACTCACCACTCACTCACCACTCACTCACCCACTCACTCACCCACTCACTCACTACTCGCTCACTCACCACTCACTCACCACTCACTCACCCACTCACTCACTCACTCACCCACTCACTCACCCACTCACCCACTCACTCACTCACTCACCCACACACACTCACTCACCACTCACTCACCACTCACTCACCCACTCACTCACTCACTCACCCACTCACTCACCACTCACTCACCACTCACTCACCCACTCACTCACCCACTCACCCACTCACTCACTCACTCACTACTCACTCACTCACCACTCACCACTCACTCACCACTCACTCACCCACTCACTCACTCACTCATCCACTCACTCACCCACTCACCCACTCACTCACTCACTCACCCACACACACTCACTCACCACTCACTCACCACTCACTCACCCACTCACTCACTCACCCACCCACCCACTCACTCACTCACTCACCCACTCACACACTCACGCACTCACTCACTCACTCACCCACCACTCACTCACCACTCACTCACCACTCACTCACCCACTCACTCACCACTCACTCACCCACTCACCACTCACCCACTCACACACTCACTCACTCACTCACCCACCCACTCACTCACTCACCCACCCACTCACTCACCCACTCACTGATCCACTCACTCACCTACTCACCCACTCACTCACCCACTCACCCACCCACTCACTCACTCACTCACCCACTCACCCACTCACTCACCCACTCACCCACCCTCCCACCCACCCCCTCTCCCACCCACCCACCCACCCCCTCTCCCCACCAACCCACCCACCCACCCACCCATCTCCCTCCCCACCAACTCACCCACACACCAACCCACCCACCCACCCATCTCCTTCCCCACCAACCCACCAACCCACCCACTCACCACCCTCTCTCTCACTCCCACACCCACCACCGCTCCAGGCCTGGTCTCGTCCTTCCCGTGCCCGGTGTGTGGCCGTGAGTTCTCCAGCGCCGGCAATCGCCGGCGGCACGGCCGTGTCCATAGCGGGGAGCGCCCCTTCAGCTGCTCGCTCTGCCCGCGGACATTTACCGATCCTACCGCGAGGAATCGACACCTGGACACTCACGGACACGGCAAGGTCCATCGCTGTCAGCCCTGCGGGAGGATGTTCAGTCAGGTGGGTGGGTGGGTGGGTGGGGGAGTGGGTGGGTGGGTGGGTGAGTGGGTGGGTGGGGGGGTGGGGGGGTGGGTGGGTGGGTGGGTGGGTGAGTGAGTGGGTGAGTGGGTGAGGAATCGACACCTGGACACTCACGGACACGGCAAGGCCCATCGCTGTCAGCCCTGCGGGAGGATGTTCAGTCAGGTGGGTGGGTGGGTGGGTGGGTGAGTGGGTGGGTGGGTGGGTGGGGGGGTGGGGGGGGGGGGGTGGGGGGGTGGGTGGGTGGGTGGGTCAGTGAGTGGGTGAGTCAGTGAGTGGGTGGGTGAGTGAGTGGGTGGGTGAGTGAGTGAGTGGGTGAGTGAGTCAGTGAGTGAGTGGGTGGGTGAGTGAGTGTGTGAGTGGGTGAGTGAGTGAGTGGGTGAGTGGGTGAGTGAGTGAGTGAGTGGGTGAGTGAGTGGGTGGGTGAGTGAGTGTGTGAGTGGGTGAGTGAGTGAGTGGGTGAGTGGGTGAGTGAGTGAGTGAGTGGGTGAGTGAGTGGGTGAGTGAGTGGGTGGGTGAGTGAGTGTGTGAGTGGGTGGGTGAGTGAGTGAGTGGGTGGGTGAGGAATCGACACCTGGACACTCACGGACACGGCAAGGTCCATCGCTGTCAGCCCTGCGGGAGGATGTTCAGTCAGGTGGGTGGGTGGGTGGGTGGGGGGGTGAGTGGGTGGGTGAGTGGGTGGGTGGGTGAGTGGGTGGGTGGGGGGGTGGGTGGGTGGGTGAGTGAGTGAGTGGGTGGGTGGGTGAGGAATCGACACCTGGACACTCACGGACACGGCAAGGTCCATCGCTGTCAGCCCTGCGGGAGGATGTTCAGTCAGGTGGGTGGGTGGGTGGGTGGGGGAGTGGGTGTGTGGGGGGTTGGGTGGGGGGGGGGGGGTGGGGGTGGGTGAGTGGGTGGGTGAGTGAGTGGGTGAGTGGGTGGGTGAGTGAGTGAGTGAGTGGGTGAGTGAGTGGGTGAGTGGGTGAGGAATCGACACCTGGACACTCACGGACACGGCAAGGTCCATCGCTGTCAGCCCTGCGGGAGGATGTTCAGTCAGGTGGGTGGGTGGGTGGGGGAGTGGGTGGGTGGGGGGGTGGGTGGGTGGGGGGGGGGGGGGGGGGGGTGGGTGGGTGGGTGGGTGAGTGGGTGGGTGAGTGAGTGGGTGGGTGGGTGGGTGAGTGAGTGAGTGAGTGGGTGAGTGAGTGGGTGAGTAGGTGAGGAATCGACACCTGGACACTCACGGACACGGCAAGGTCCATCGCTGTCAGCCCTGCGGGAGGATGTTCAGTCAGGTGGGTGGGTGGGTGGGTGGGGGGGGGGGTGAGTGGGTGGGTGGGTGAGTGGGTGGGTGGGGGGGGGGGGTGGGGGGGTGAGTGGGTGGGTGGGTGGGTGAGTGGGTGAGTCAGTGAGTGGGTGGGTGAGTGGGTGAGTGAGTGAGTCAGTGAGTGAGTGAGTGGGTGGGTGAGTGAGTGAGTGGGTAGGTGAGTGGGTGAGTGGGTGAGTGAGTGGGTGAGTGAGTGGGTGAGTGAGTGGGTGGGTGAGTGAGTGTGTGAGTGGGTGGGTGAGTGAGTGAGTGAGTGGGTGGGTGAGTGGGTGGGTGAGTGGGTGGGTGGGTGAGTGAGTGAGTGAGTGGGTGAGTGAGTGGGTGAGTGAGTGAGTGGGTGGGTGGGTGAGTGGGTGAGTGGGTGGGTGAGTGGGTGGGTGGGTGGGTGGGGGGGTGAGTGAGTGGGTGAGTGGGTGAGTGAGTGAGTGGGTGGGTGAGTGGGTGAGTGAGTGAGTGAGTGGGTGAGGAATCGACACCTGGACACTCACGGACACGGCAAGGTCCATCGCTGTCAGCCCTGCGGGAGGATGTTCAGTCAGGTGGGTGGGTGGGTGGGTGGGGGGGGGGGGGTGGGTGGGTGGGGGGGTGGGTGGGTGGGGGGGTGAGTGGGTGGGTGGGTGGGTGAGTGAGTGAGTGGGTGGGTGGGTGAGGAATCGACACCTGGACACTCACGGACACGGCAAGGCCCATCGCTGTCAGCCCTGCGGGAGGATGTTCAGTCAGGTGGGTGGGTGGGTGGGTGGGAGGGTGAGTGGGTGAGTGGGTGAGTGGGTGGGTGGGTGGGTGGGGGGGTGGGGGGGTGGGTGGGTGGGTGGGTCAGTGAGTGGGTGAGTGAGTGAGTGGGTGGGTGAGTGAGTGAGTGGGTGGGTGGGTGAGTGGGTGAGTGAGTGGGTGAGTGGGTGGGTGAGTGAGTGGGTGGGTGAGTGAGTGGGTGAGTGAGTGAGTGGGTGGGTGAGTGAGTGTGTGAGTGGGTGAGTGAGTGAGTGGGTGAGTGGGTGAGTGTGTGAGTGAGTGCGTGAGTGAGTGGGTGAGTGTGTGGGTGAGTGAGTGAGTGGGTGAGTGGGTGAGTGAGTGAGTGGGTGAGGAATCGACACCTGGACACTCACGGACACGGCAAGGTCCATCGCTGTCAGCCCTGCGGGAGGATGTTCAGTCAGGTGGGTGGGTGGGTGGGTGAGTGAGAGGGTGAGTGAGTCAGTGGGTGGGTGGGTAGGTGGGTGGGTGGGTGGGTGAGTGGGTGAGTGAGTGGGTGGGTGAGTGAGTGGGTGAGTGGGTGGGTGGGGGGGTGAGTGAGTGAGTGGGTGGGTGGGTGGGTGAGTGAGTGGGTGGGTGAGTGAGTGGGTGAGTGAGTGAGTGGGTGGGTGAGTGAGTGTGTGAGTGGGTGAGTGAGTGAGTGGGTGAGTGGGTGAGTGTGTGAGTGAGTGCGTGAGTGAGTGGGTGAGTGTGTAGGTGAGTGAGTGAGTGGGTGAGTGGGTGAGTGAGTGAGTGGGTGAGGAATCGACACCTGGACACTCACGGACACGGCAAGGTCCATCGCTGTCAGCCCTGCGGGAGGATGTTCAGTCAGGTGGGTGGGTGGGTGGGTGAGTGGGGGGGTGAGTGAGTGGGTGGGTGGGTGAGTGAGTGGGTGGGTGAGTGGGTGGGTGGGTGGGTGGGGGGGTGAGTGAGTGGGTGAGTGGGTGAGTGAGTGGGTGAGTGGGTGGGTGAGTGAGTGAGTGGGTGAGTGGGTGAGTGAGTGGGTGGGTGGGTGGGTGAGTGAGTGAGTGAGTGGGTGAGTGGGTGAGTGAGTGGGTGAGTGAGTGAGTGGGTGGGTGAGTGAGTGTGTGAGTGGGTGAGTGAGTGAGTGGGTGAGTGGGTGAGTGAGTGAGTGAGTGGGTGAGTGAGTGGGTGAGTGAGTGGGTGGGTGAGTGAGTGTGTGAGTGGGTGGGTGAGTGAGTGAGTGAGTGGGTGGTGAGTGGTGTGAGT